ACATGGCTCCTTCTCGCCTTCCCAAGTGGCATTTCTTTTTTTTGTGTGTTTTGTTTTGTTTTGTTTGAAACAGGGTTTCTCTGTGTAGCCTTGGATATCCTGGAACTCATTCTGTAGACCAGGCTGGCTTCAAACTCATAGATATCCACCTGCCTCTTCCTCCCAAGTGCTGGGATTAAAGGCGTGCACCACCACTGCTTAGCCCAAGTGACATTTCTAATTCTAGTTAGAATTCAGTCCCATACAGTCTTCTTAGTTAGGCAAAAAGTTCTCCCAGGAAGCCAAGGATTAAGGGCAGAGTGGTTGGGTTTAGTGGTCCAAAAGAGTCTCATTTTACAAAGGGATCAGTTCCAAGACCTCCAGCGAGGGGGAAAAAAATCACACAAAGTAAAAATTGTCCTTGAAAATCCTTTAAGATGCCCATGAAGTTCAACAAGCAGACATGATTACTTCTCAGGAAAGCCCAGCCAGCCAGTTTTTTCTTTGCCTCAGTTGAGCAGCAGAGGAAAACACTGGCTGGCGTTTAGAACACTGAAGCAGAGAGGCATATCTGTGTATGATCAGAATCTGATGTGATACGACCAGGGAAGGGCCTATGCATGACCCATGTTACACACACACACACACACACATACACACACACACAGAGAGAGAGAGAGAGAGAGAGAGAGAGAGAGAGAGAGAGAGCGCCACCTGCACATAGAGTAGAAGAGCAAGAGAGCGTGTCACTATGCACCCATACATCACTGTATGCCCCCCCCATGCTATGAGCCCCTCTCTCCAACCCTCCTCAGCTAAACCACACATCTGACTTGATGTAAACTTAAAGGGATCCTTCAACTAACCCCACTTTATGTCAGCACCTCAGGCTCATCCCGCCGCCGCCACCTTGGGTTGTTGATCTAGAATTCCTGACCCATAGAAACCATGAGCTCCCTGGGCAGTGGTGGTAAGGCATTGCTATCACTAGTAACCTACAATTCTCTGCATAGCTCATAGGAACTGCTTAATAGACTCAACTACAACTTCGCATATAATATGTAGAATAACATCTGGACATGGCACCAAGCCCCACTTCCACCACACTCCAGTAAAAATAAACCTCACTGTTCAAATATAGAGTAGTCAGAAGTGCCATGTTTTACAGAAGAGGCAGTTACTTGGCATTAAAAATAGACAAGTGTTGGCTTCCTCAAATAGCTGGGCATTAGCAATGTGATTTTCAAATGGAAACACAGATAGAGCGCGACACTCACACACATCCGGCCTGACTCAGCTATTTAACGAGCCTCCACAGAAAAGTAGAGTGCCCATGTGGACCTCAGTTAGCAGATCTGCAAAGCAAGTGACCACGTTCTACCAAGCAGGACATCTGTGGAGAGCTGGTGACTTCACAGCAGTGTGACACAGGAAGGCTAGCTGGCCCTCTGCTCTTGGAACAGGGCTAATCAGGACCCACACCAGCTTTTCCCTAAGGACTTAACAGAACTCGGTCAAGAGCTGGAAACCACCCTTTGTAATCTCATGCATTGTTGATTCACACATACATAAGACAAGGTCAACCAGGAAGTCCCTATACACCCAGCACATAACTCCTCACAGGCTACCTTTTAATTAATTAATTTATAAATAGTCTCACTATGTAGCTTTGGCTGGCCTATGTAGATGAGGCTAGCTCCTGCCTCCCAAGTGCTGGGGTTAAGGGCATGTGCCACTACCGCCAAACACTTATCAAACAGTTTTGTATGTGTGGTGTATGCATGTGTGCATATGTGCAGGTTGGAGGTTGAAGCTGGGGGGTCTGCTATTATTCTCTTTATATATCTTATATACGTCTTTCGAAGATTTCATCTTATCTTTATGTGTATATGTGTGGGCATGTGCACACAAGTGAGGGTACCTGTGGAGGCTAGAGGCACTGGATCCCTCTAGAGCTGGAATTATAGGCAGTTGTACCAAGCTCAGGTCCTCTGGAAGAGCAGCAAGCATTCTTAACTACTGAGCCATCTCTCTAGCCCCTTCAGCTAGTTTTTTGAGGCAGGGTCCATTACTTAACCTGGAGCTTGTGAATTCATTTACCAGGGACTGTCCAGGCAAGCCCCTGGGATCTTCCTGTTGCTGCCTCTAGGATTAGAGTGTGTCTCTGCTCCTGGCCTTTTGAATGGGTCCTTCAAGAGCCACCCTTAGGTACAGACCCACTTGTATCCACTGGGCCCTCTCTCTTCACTCCCTTCATGAGCTGGGGATTGAACCCGAGGCATCACGCTTGCTTGGAATGTGCTCTACCACCAAGTGATAGCTCCAGTCCTCTTTGCTTTTATGACAGGGTCTTGAATGCTCTCTATAGCCCAGGCCAGCCTTGGATTTGTGATCCTCCTGCCTCAGTCTCCCAAGCAGCTGGGATGGGATCATAGGCCTGTGTTACCAAGCCAGGCCTGAGATGTTACCTGGTAAAAAAAGAAACCAAGGTTAGGCCTGCCAGGGGGTTCAGCTGTGTGCAGAAAGGCGGGAGTTTCCTCTCCACCACAGAATGCCAGTGCTGGGTGTCAGAGGTGGCAGGGTTTGTGGCATATTCCATCACTGTCAAGATCATTCAGCAGGTGGAGCCAGAGACTGGACCCATACCCAGTTTGACCGCTCCAAAGCCCCTTTGTCCCATGACACTGGGCTTCTGTGGCCCAGTTACCATGAAGCCAGACTGTTCTTCCCAACTCTGAGAAGCGAAAGGCCCTGGGGTAACTCAGGATGTCAGGGAGAAGCACGTTAAGATGGTTTGATGCCCCTTGTGTATTTTTGCCACATCTTAGAAAAATAAAGAACAGATTTACTTTAAATGGTTTTATTAAAAATTGTACCAGTTGATGAGGAAGAGGATATTTACACATGTATACATGTAAAGAGCAAAAAAAAAAAAAAAAAGCCAAATATTATGTACAGGTTAAAAAATAATGGTCCCCATTATTCTCCTTAAGGCAGAATGCCCAGACCCCAGGGCAACCAAACTGGGAGGAATGAAATGCTACATCTCACTGCCCCCCCCCATCAGTTCTGTAGACCCAGAGATGGGGTGGACCATGAGACACCTGTAGAAAGAGGGGTAGTGCAAGCCTGGCGCTGCATACCTCATAGCACCTTGGCCAAAGCTAGGCACATATGGAAGAGCCCAGCTTTGTTCTGCTGTTCCCTTGGGGCTCTTTCCCCCAGACCTGCAGCTCATAGGAACCCCAGGAAACGACTGTGGTTCCACCCTGCCCCACCAGGTTATCAGGCCAGGATAGCCTGTTTCCAAAGGTCCTCATCTTCAGAGAGCCACAGGTTGCCCCACCAGGAGGATCTCGGCCACAGTTCTGATTCCTCATAAGTCCTGCAGAACCATGAGGACTTTTTTTGGCCACTCTAAGCACATGTACCCGATTCCCTATCAAGAACCCCGAAAGGAAAGTTCCTATCAGAGCACTGTTCTCCTCCCTGACCCGGACAGTCAGTGACTTCACTGCCTAGTTCCTGGAAAGCTTGGGGCAGACGGGGGCCCTGGCTAGACTGCCCCAAATACCCACTCCCCGCCATGCTCAAGGTTGGGCTTGGGTTTGTGGCTGGGGCTGCAAGGCAGGCCAGCTGGGCCTCTCTAGGCCCTGGAAACAAGCTCTGCACATAGCTCTGGACACAGCCCATCCCTTGGGGCCTGAGGGAGGTCACTGGGAGGTGATCTTTTTCCACCTCTGATTGAGCAAGACAAGGCCACTGGGGACAACTACATAGCATAGCCAGACTTTGAAACACAGAGACAGGGCCAGGCAGAGAGCTGCTCCCACCCCTGCCCCAGTCTCACTGGGGAGTCAGTAACTGGACTGAGGGACAGTCCTTTTCAGATCTGTTCACTGGCTTCTAGAAATGCCTGCTGGGAATTGTGAACTAGAAGAGCAGTTTGGCCCCTGAATATCAGGCTTCTGTCCCTCTAGGGCATTTCTATATGGAGTTTTCCCGCCCCTCTCCCACCCCCACCCTCAGCACACCACAAAAGCCCGCTGCCTTCAGCTGGTTACAGGTCATCACACAGGTCAGACTTCCCTCCCTCTAAATCTGAATCTCCACTCTTCACTAGAGACAGCCAGGCTCCTGAAGTTGGGGAGAGGCAATGGGGAGGGGCTGGCTGTCCCGGAGCTGGGCTGGGAGACTATAAAGCCAATTCACCAGGCATAGATCACTGGCCAATTAAAGCAACCAGCCAGGGGGAACCTCTGCCTCCTGGGGTTGGGCTGCCAGCTACCTCCTAGGGCTTGGGGGCGGGGGAGGGCGCTGTGTTTTTGTTTATTTATATTTTACAGTCCTGGGGATCCATCCAAGGGTCTTTTGACTGCTAGGCAAGAACTCTATCTTAGAGCTTCAACCCCAGCCTGGATTCAGGTTGAAGGAAGATAAAAGAGGTTTTCAATTTCACCCTGGCTTGCCCAAGTTAGTGAGTTTGAGTCAGCCTAGGCCCAAAGTGGAGACAGTGCATTCTGACCAGTTTCCACCTGGCCCCAGACTCAATGTTCAGGTCAATCTCTGGGCTCAGTTCTCAGGACAGACCACAGGGCACCCAGCCTGTGCCTGGCAAGGTCTCTGAAGCTGAAAGCTGTGCCCTGACACAGATGTAAAGTCTGCTTAGGGGTTTCAAAGATGACTGGTGAACATGGTTCGGTATGACAGGGGCACACGTGTCCCACAGCCCATGTGCCAAGCACATACCGGAAGCCTGCCTGTCATAGCCTTGATCCAGGAAAGTGGAAGACCACACATGTCCCATGCACATCTAAACTGCTGGGGAGACACACAGGAAAGCTGGGCTTTGTGATGGTGTGCCCCAGAACCAGTCTTCATATTCATTAATTAGGTCCCTTTTCCTTGCAAATAGGAACCCAGCTTCTTAGCAGACAAACAATGGTATACACCCTGAGAAAATGACTGTGGCCAAGAAGAGGTAATATCTCCAGATCATCTAAGCAGAAAAACACAAAGGCTTATACACATATTTCCAGGTCCTTCTTGGGACCATTGCGAGTGCATACGGTACCTTTGTGTAGATTAGGAAAGACACCCCTAACTCTGAGCAGATCTGCCCCACGTCAGGACATACAGCCTAGAGAGCAGAGCACAGGCTGAACTTCAGCCTCCGTGATCCCCCTCATACCCTTGTGCAGCAGAAAGCCTGCCCAACTGTATGCCCAGGGGGGTCAGTTGCCTTCTACAGGACTGAAGACCCCCCCCACACGCACACACACAGAGAAATGAGAGTTATTGGGCTTTGTTCAATTTAAACCTCCTCTGAGTTCTTCCTCCAAGTTCCTTGAATGACCCCGGAGTCGTCTTTGCTCGGGGAAGCCATCTTTTCTTTGGACTTCATCTTTAGCACCAATGTCTTTCCTCACATACATATAAAAATTACGATGTGACTTCCAGGCATGGGTTAGGAGTCACCCTGTGACTAAGGTCAGCCGCTTTGTGTCCCCTCCCTGAGAGCTGTGGCAGGGAGAGAAGGAAGACATTCAGAGGCAGCTGAGATTCCTCTGGGTTCAATAACTCTCCCTTCTGGGTTAGCCGGGAAGCTGAAGGAAGATGGAACCCAGCTCTGCCGGTTCCGTGTTCTAAACATTGTCTGTTACTTCAAAAGTCACTTTTCAGGTGACAAAGTCACTGTCCTAGCTTCTTCCTGTATCCCACTAGGTACGAGAAAGGAATGGGGATAAGGGGGAGGAGGTACACGTTTCCAAGGAAACCAAGAGGTCTAGGATCCCCTGGGACTGTCTGATCAGTGGGATGGCTGCTCCATTCCCATGCCCCCTGTGAACCCACCCCATCTCGAAGTGCTGCCGCTGAAGTGGGTGTAGTCCAATCCAGTCCAGTAGTTGGCAGGGTCTTTTGAAAATAGAGCTGACAAAGGCACAGGCTGCTGGGTACAACACGATGGTGACTGGCTACATGGCTCACACACGGTTGACACCCAGGCAGCAAAGGTGGCAGTAGTTTGCACCTTGGGACTAATCAAGGGGTTTCCATGTGGGACCAAGTCACAGTTGGGGCCTTATCAAGCTTGACTCCATTTTGAGGCACCTTTGAGAGGTTCTTAGAGAAGTCCAACCCTCCCTGAGGTCTTCTGGAGGTGACAGGGTCTGGATAAGAATCCCTGAGCCCATGTGGTGGGCACTGGCTGTGCCAAGTGGGAACCCAGATGTAGGGCTGGCTAGCCAAGGCATTGCTGCTCTTAGCCAGGAAGCCCCTGGCCAAGGTCCTGGTGGTTTAGAGTCATGTTTCCATCAGGTGTGAGGGAAGGCTGACATATTTGGTGATCCTGGGAGTCTAACCTGACTTCCCATTTCTTAACCAGTTCCAGGAGGAAATCCTCAGTCCACTTCCTGGAGAACATCACCAACTGGCCATCATCAGAGCCTTAGGAACACCACCAGCAGACACAGCCGCCTCTCCTTCAACAGTGTTTGACAAAGGTCCCCATTCCCAGTGCAAGTTCTGAGCAGGAAGGAAGATCCCACTGGGGTATGTTATATGTACATACAGGGGAAAAAATTAAAACAACAAAACTGGACAAGACAGTGTCTGTCCTCCCAGGTGTCTGTCCTGTTCCAGACGGCATTCCTGGTGCTTCATCCAACAAGGGCCGCCCAGCCTCACCAGGGACCCACCCCTTCCCTGTTTTCTTCTCTGTTCAAGGCCAGGTTTTGCAGGAAGAGGAAGACCTGCCACCATGCACGGTCTCGGTTCTGCTGGTGCTGTAAGGGAAAGAGATGAGTGTTAGGTGCCAGGCACCAGCCTAGACTACAGGCTCCTTCCTGGTTCCCAAACAAGCTCCATTGCCAGATCTCAGACTGGCACCGTTGTGCCACCCAGCAAACTGAGGAGACAGGGGACAAAACTCCAAAGACAACTGCAGTTTGGGCATTTAAAAACACTAGGCTGGGCCAGATGTTGGTGGCGCAAGCCTTTAATGCCAGCACTCGGAAGGCAGAGGCAGGCAGATCTCTGTGAGTTCGAGGCCAGCCTGGTCTACAGAGCGAGTGCCAGGATAGGTTCAAAGCTACACAGAGAAATCCTGTCTTGAATCCCCCCCATAAAAAACAAAACAAAACAAAACAAAAAACCCCACTAGGCTGGGCTGTGTGGACTGTGACAGGAGGATCAGACTTTCTCCCCTGCTAGCAGGATTTTTCCACAGTTTAGCCAAGTACTGCTTTTAATCAGATTGGCTCCTGAGCCCCCCCAACCTCAGCTGCATGAACAACAATCTTGCTTGAGCGAGAAAGACAAGAAGTCCCTCCCTCTCCCCCATTCCAAAGGAACACAGAGAACAAGAGAAGGAGGGGGGAGCCTCCATCTGCAAGTGATTTGACACTGTGAAGGTCAAAGGGTTAATCTTCAATTTAAACCACACTGCTGAGGCAGCAAAAATCTGATTTCATCCAGTACAAACACACACACAGACACACACTGATACACACACACACACTTGTGTGAGAGAGCCCGCCTCTCCCCCCTTCAGCATCCCCAGCTCTGGGCTGCCCTTTTTATAGCTGCTTTTGACAGTAAGCCATAAATAATCCCTCTTGGAGCGCTTTCCTACTGACTGGAGCCAATTAAACGTTAAGCAAGAACACACTTGAAAACAAAACAAAAACAAAGAATGCACACCAGCTCTGGAGGTTATCCCAGGTCCTACTGTCAGGCAGGGAAGCTAGGGGGCAAAGTTCAGAGGTCAGAAGCACAAAGGTTTCTGGCTGGTGTCCTGTCCATACAGGTACTATTTCCCAGAGACCAGCAGAAAGAGGCCTGAAGGGGACAAGGGAATGCTGGAAGAGGCGGTCTTTGTTCTCTCCTTGTCTGCCAGGGGAGGAGGACAGGCTGGGGCCTCTCCGTGGGGTTCTTAGTGGACAGGGGAATAAAAACCTAGTGTGCAGAGAGGGGCCAGCACAGACTGGATTTGGATTCCTTCAGTGGCCCAGTCAGCAAGCCCGTTTATGTGAGGTGTCCGGTAGGGGGTGGGGGCTCTCTCAGGCTGTCTTTAACCACAACCATCACCCCCTACCAGGCAACTCCTGGTAGGAGTTACATGGGAGAAGGGTAGAGTACATTAGTAAGACAAGCATGTTGTAAGCCCAGGTTTCCTGGACTCCTGGAGCTTTGAAGTTCCATCCAGCCCCAGGTTTCCCCAGGGAACCAAGCAGGCTGTGAGTCCCCTCCCCACGGTCCTCAGCCACAAAGAGAAATAGTGGAGGGGAGTGTTGAGAACAGGCGAGTGAGTCTGAGGCACAGTGCCTGCCAAGCAAGCAGGCTAAGCGGGGTGTGCCACAGAGAAGCCTGGAAGAAGGCGCTGGGGAGACTGATGGCTTCCTCGTGTTTTGTAAACAAAGATGAGTAAAAAGAGGAAACACACGCAGCTTAACAAAGTCTGGTTCCAGTAGAGCAGCCTGAACTTCAGCTGCAAAGCTAGTGACCCAGGCCTGCAGCAGCTGGGAGAACCCCCTCACCATGCCTGCCCAGCTGCTACTGACAACAGGTGCAAAGGTCATGAGTGGAACAGGAGACCCCGGGAATAGACAGGTCCCTGGAGAGGCCAGTCTGCTGGCATTGTGAATCTCCTCAGGTACCAGTCTGAAAAAGCCAAGTGACAATAACAACGATTCTCAACAATAATAGAAACAGGTTATGGTTGTTCCATACTGAGCAATCTACAGTCCTGCTTCTTAAGGTGTGGTCCCCAGGACAGCAGCCTCAGCAGCACCAGGGAAGCCCACTAGAAATGCTGACCCACTGAATCAGAATGCGAATTTTCTACAAGATCCCCAGAATTCTGAGGTTCAAGGTACAGTGTAGGATAAAAAGAACCTCGACAGGTGTTGGTGGCACATGCCTTTAATCCCAGCACTCAGGAGGCAGAGGCAGGGGTATCTCTGTGAGTTTGAGCCCAGCCTGGTCTACAGGAGCTAGTTCCAGGACAGCCTCCAAAGCCACAGAGAAACCCTGTCTCGAAAAACCAAACCAAACAAAATAAACCACCCATCACCTCCCTAAACCCTATGAAATGGGTCTGTATTTTCATTCCCATAACAGATGAAATAACTAAAGATCTAATCCAGCCATCACATGGCTAGTAAGTGGCAGGGACTGGCTAAACCCAGAGCGATATCCCTACTTAAGATCACTGTGCACCAGGCAAAGAAGATCCACCATACCCATTTACTACGTCACCTCAAAATAGCATGATGGCCAAGGAAGGAGATCATGATTCTATGATCCAAAGACTGCACCAATCCTATATCCAATATGCCTTGGCTTCTGCCAAATTCCATTAATGGAGGTCATTTGCTCAGAAGAAACTTCCTGGGCCCCCAGGTCCGGTAGGAGTGAGGTGAAGAAGCAATCTCATCATTTAGAGTCAGAGAAGCATCTATGAGCTGGTGAGTGGTCAGTTGGGATGGATGACAGCTTTGAGGGGTGGGGCCTAGCATGAGTGCAGGTGGTGGTGCACACAGGCTGGCCTTGGAGCAGAAGCTAGTGCCCGCCATGACTTTGCTGTGACTTTTCAGGGTTCATGACCTAGCAAGAAGGCACTAAGGGAGGAACTTAGATCCTCAGATCAGGAGTCAGAGGCTGGCTTTAGGCTGGATCTCTCAATGGATCTGTGAAAACTCACACTGGTGTTATAGTAGATCTATACCTTCTAAACCCAACTGTGTCACAAGAATGTGCCAGCCCTGCCCATGCCAACAGGGTCAGAATGTCCAGGGAAGGGGCCCAGGAATTTACATACTGAACAAATTCTATGAGTAATAGTTTAAAAACCAGAAGAGGCAGACAGGCTGGATCTCTTGGTAGTTAAGAGTGTGCACAGCTCTTGAGGAGGACCAAAGTTTGGTTTCTAGGACCCATATCAGTGGCTCACAACCACCTGTAACTCCAGCTCCAGGGGATCTGATGCTCTGGTCTCCACAGGCACCTGCATCCACATGCACACAACCCCTAGAAATACATAGATTAATAGTTATGGGTTAATAATTAAGAGAGAGCTAGCCAATAAAAAGCCTGAGCCATTGGCCAAACAGTTTATAATTAATATAAGTCTCTGTGTGCTTATTTGGGGCTGAAGAGCAGCAGGACCAGGTGGAAAAGAAATTCAACAAGATGAAACCAGCACCACCTCTACCTGTACACTACTGTGCTCCCCACTGTGATGATAATGGGATCCTCTATGCTTTCTTTGTAAGAATTGCTGGGGTCATAGTGTCTCTTCATAGCAATAAAACCCTAACTAAGACACACACACACACACACACACAATTAAAATAATGAAAATATTTTTTTTTAATCAAAAGGGGACTGGGAACGTAGCTCAATGGTAGACCACACCTAGCATACATGGAGGCCCTGGGTTCAATCTCCAGTGTCACAAAAATAAAAGGATGAGGGAAGGAAGGAAAGAAGGAAGATCAGAAGGAAAATTTATTGTATACTTAAATAGTAATAAAAGCAATACATATTCATTGTAAAACCATCATAAGCTGTAAGAAATTACAGAGGAGAATATAAAAGCTGCCAGTGATCCTACAGCCTAGAAGAAAACACTTCATAGTTTGTCACCTTCTTCAGTGCCTTTTAACCTCTTTCCATTAAACCAATGGCTTGCCCTGGTGGCCAAACCAGAGGCAGAGCCTGCCCAGGTGCTTCTGCAGCAGCCAGGCCACAGACAGGCGTTTGGAAACCACTGAGGTGCTTTCCAACCCCAAGGAGCTTGTGACCACAATTGCCTTCAGGATACAGCACAGTCCAAGGACTCAGTACTGTCAGCCACCCCAGCAGTGCTTAGGCAGTCCTGGACGATAGCAAGGGAGGGCTGGGAGCCCATCCTCAGGACCCTGAGCACCCCCAGGGCATAAACCAAGCCGAGAATACTGCACTTAAAGTCTCTCCTGCACACCCCAAAATGGAAAGCAAGCTCTCACACACCAAGAGGCAAAGAACACCCTGATTATAAGGAATAACAATAAACAAAATATTTCTACAAGTCAAACAAAAGAGACTAATGAGAAAGGAAAGAGAAAGGACTTGAAAGGAGGCCAGAAAGAAACTTCTGAGGAAGGAAATCTGCCTCTACCAAACAGGATGAAGGATACAAAGACACCAAAAACAGCAGAGAGCACGAGTCCTTCCAAAGGAGGGAGGAGGAAGGGGGAACCAGGAAAGAGTCTGGGAGGCCTCTGAGTTTCAGGCACCTGGCCCAGCACCCAGCATACAATCTATAACTGAGAGCAAACCCCTGGAACAGGGCCCAGCTCTCCCAGGCAGGGAATGTGTGCCTCAGGCTGGGAGCTCCCAGAAACCACAATGGAGTGACCCAAATATGAAAGATTGGGAATAGGGAATGAAACATCCCAAAGCCCTCCCACTCATCAAGATTTAAACCCAAAAGAGGAGCGAACGAATAGAAAATGTTCAAGGGGACTGACTAAATGACTCAGTGGATAAAGGTGCTTTCTGCCAAGCCTGATAGCTTGAGTTCAAATCCTAGAATCCACGGGGCATGACAGCACAGGCCTTTAATTCCAGCACTCAGGAGACAGACACAGGTGGCTCTCTGCATGCCTGGTTTACACAGCAAGTTCCAGGCCAGCCAGGGCTGTTTCAAAAGCAACAAAAAAACCTAGAATCCATATATTGGAAGGAGACACTCCTGCAGGTTTTTTCTTGACCTCCTCTGCACACATAGCAAAAGAGCAAA